ATATAAAGTTTATTCATTTTAAAAAAGTACAAAACAATTCCATAACAATATAAAAAAGATAAAAGAGATTTAAAACGAAAGGCAGCAGAAAGAAGAAAAAATCTTATTATATCTGCCCCTTTTTTCAAACATTTAGTTCAATCATAATAATTTTCAAGTAACAGAATAAAATGAAGAACTCTTTTTAATTTTTCTAATTCTAATACAAAACACACACTAAGCTACTTCATATATATATATATTTTTTTAACAATCCAGCTTTGATCTTTTTCTTAAATGTACACATTGACTTGACATTTTTCACATATATTCCACAATCCAACTCCTTGGATTGAGGTAGACCGTCCCTTCAGACTAGTTCTGAATTTTGGTTTGACAAATATCTCTATCCCCTTAAGATTATAACAACTTTTTCCATCCATCCATCCATCCATTATCTTTACCCGTTTATTCCATTTTGGGTCACGGGGGTCGCTGGTGCCCATGTCCAGCAATCACTGTGCGAGGGGCGGGGGACACCCTGGACGGGTCGCAAGTCCATCACAGGGACACATAGAGACAAACGAGACAAACAACCATTCACTCTCTCACTCGCACCTAGGGACAATTTAGAGTTACCAATCAGCCTAACATGCATGTTTTTGGACTGTGGGAGGAAACCGGAGTACCCGGAGAAAACCCACGCATGCACGGAGAGAACATGCAAACTCCCCCCAGAAGGCCCCTGGATCGGGATTTGAACCAGGGACCTGTTTGCTGAGAGGCAGCAGCTCTACCAGTTGCGCCACCGTGCTGCACAACTTTTTCTTTTAACAAAATTTATTTGAATATTTAATGGTAATGTGTTATTTTGAGCCCTATACATAACTGATAAAATACTATAATCTACCAAATCATGGAACTTCAATAACTTCAGTTGATAAAATAATGTGCTTGATGGGTGACTGTAATGCTTTCTGGTGATAATTCTTACAGCTCTTTTCTGTCAAATAAAAATAGGCTTTGTAAATGTTTTACACGCTTTCCCCCAAACATCAATGCAATAGATTAAATGTGGAACAATGATTGTGTTATGCAACATGTACAGAGCTTTATCATTTAATAATTCCCTGACTTTGTATAGTACTGCAATAGATTTAGATATTTTTGTTCTTACAGAATTTATGTGATTTTTCCATGTTAGCTGTTCATCAATGATTACACCCAAAAATTTCATCTCATTAACTCTACAAATCTCAACACCCTCAGTTTTAAATGGATCATCAACAGTTCTCTTTTTGTTACTAAATATCATGTAGTTAGTTTTGTCTAAATTTAATGATAATTTATTAAGTTTAACCCAAATTTGTATTTTATCAAATTCTGTCTTCATCAATTCCAACATCCGTCGTACATCTTTACCCAAACAAAAAAATGTGGTGTCATCTGCAAAAAGGACACATTTGAGGAGTCCTGATACATTCACTAAGTCATTCACATATAAAATAAATAACTTTGGTCCAAGTACAGAGCCTTGAGGAACTCCACAAGTGATATTGCAGAGGTCAGATCTTACACCATTTATTTGTACAAACTGTTTCCTATCTTTCAAATAGCTAGATACCCAGTGTAATGCTGGTCCTCTTATACCATATTTATTCAATATTTCAAGGAGAATAGTGTGGTCAATAGTATCGAATGCTTTTTTTAAATCAACAAAAATACTAACACAATACTGTTTTTGATCGACAGCAGTAGTTATTTGTTCTATTATTTCCATGAGAGCCATTGATGTGGAGTTTTTTGCTCTAAACCCATACTGACTGCTACTTAGAATGTTTTGTTTAGTAATAAATTTATCTAATCTGGTCACAAACAGTTTTTCTAGAATTTTTGAGAACTGTGATAATAAGGATATTGGTCTATAATTACTGAACACACATTTATCACCATTTTTAAAGAGAGGAACTACCTTAGCTACTTTCATATTGTCAGGAAATATTCCTTTTGAAAATGATAAATTACATATATATGTAAACGGCTCGATAACATAACTCATTATGTCCTTTACAAACATCATATCCACGTCCACCCAGTCTTTTGATCTCTTATCTGTAAGATTCTTTACTACATTCATTATTTCTTCTTTGTCAGTTCCATTAAGAAAAATACTGTTGTCACAACTTATAACTGAATGGTTCACATTATTGTCTTCTTTTGGTATTTTAGCTGCAAGGCTTGATCCAACGTTCACAAAATGATGATTAAATCCATTTACAGTTTCATATATATATATATATATATATATATGTCACAATTTTTCTTGTCACCTCTGTCTGTTTGCTGATAAATTTCAATCATTCAATTCTAAATCTTGTTTGGATGGCCACTCTTGACCTCCTCTTCCTCCTCTTCCTCCCCCTGCAGCATGTGGAGTTCCGGAGACAATTTAAAGTTGATACTATTGTCTCGGACTGGAAATCTCCAGAGGTAACTCATTTGAATTTAGCTCCCATATTTTTTATCATATTTGTCTGAATGAGCACAGCTGGAGAATTATTGCCTTATTATTTGTTCAAACCATTAAAAAAACCTGCTCGTGTGCTTTAGTTCAGTTTATTGCTTCTGGAAATGCACGTTTCTGTCGCTGGAGGTCAGTCACTGTTTGTTGCTCCGTCAGGTCATAGAGAAGTACGTGTCAGGAGGGATGTGCGGCTACGACCGTGAGGGGAGTCCGATCTGGTACGATGTGATCGGTCCTCTGGATCCTAAAGGACTGATGATGTCAGCCACCAAACAAGACTTCCTGCGGACAAAGATCAGACACTGTGAGATGCTGCAGCAGGAGTGTCGGAGGCAGTCTGAGAAGGTCCACCCATGTGTCCTCCTTTCCTCCCCTGTTTACTCACCTCCTTGCTGCTTGTCTCCCTGCTCTCAGCCTTTTACTCGATTATTTTATCCAATTTGTCCTCTCGTTTTCTTTGCTTTTATCTTTACTTCCTCTTGTTTGAGTCATCCTTCCATTAGTCTTGTTTTACTTCAACCATTCTCTCTTCATTTCCTCCTCCTCTCCTCCTCTAACATCCTCTCTTCGTCTCAGTTGGGGAAGAACGTTGAATCCGTCACTCTGATTTACGACCTCGAAGGACTTGGACTGAAGCACCTCTGGAAACCTGCTGTTGAGATCTACGGAGAGGTTTGTCATGGACTCACACGTCCATCACATCTGTTCGCTGACACACAACATCTGCTGCTGCAGCTGGAAGGTGAACCAGTCTCGGTTCTTACATGGCAAGAAGAGGGCAGCTCAAGGTGCTTTACAAAATAAAAGCAAGTTAACAAGAACAAGATGAAAAGAAATGCACACACACCAAGAAACCATGTTAATAATTCAAAAGACAATTACATCAGTTAGTTAAAACCATTGGCAATACGTCTGCAATTAGTGGTAATTATAGCTTCTTTTTGGGGGTGCTTGAGCACCCCTAAATTTTAACTCGGTCAGCACCCCTGAAAAATAAAGTGAAAATTATTATTTATTTATTTGTGGTTATGGGTTCTTTTTGTTGCATTTATGAGTCAATGCAACAAAATAAACCAATTTAAAAGGTAACAGATCATTGTAGTACTTACTTTATTTACATAATGACTTTAATTGCTGAATGTTGGGCCCCTGAGCTGCTGGTTTTCAGGAACTGTGGCCCCTGAGCAGTTTAGTTGAATATCTCTGCTTTAGAGGGTGGAATACGTTTTAGTTCATTTCCAAAACCTAAACTGAGTTTGGACAAATGTAAAAGATGATAAAGCTCTGCGGCCGACCTCATGATCAGCTGATTACGACATTGATAAACAGGAAGTACTGCATGTTCATCTGTATGAAGGTAACTGCAAGTAAATCCTCCATTTTTGTCATAACTGCATGATTAATGGTTAAAGGTTAATGCTTAAAGCCAGTTGTTATATGTTGCAACTTCTGGTTGCACTAGTTTAGTCTTTGTTGTGATCAGTTAACACTAAACTGATTTTACGTTAATGAGGTTGTGTAATGCAGAGCGCTACATCTGTAGCGTCATAGCTAGCAAGTCTGTATTGCGCACTGCTAGCTTAGCGCTACTTCCTGTTGTGCTGAGCTCTCTAAAATAGTTCTTGAATCAAGTGTTTACTTATGTAGGTAAACACAGATGTTTAACAACCTGTTAAAATACACCAGAATGCACCCCCCCCACACACACACACCCACACATTATGAATGCTTCTGACGCCAATGGCCACCACATTGTTCAAGCCACTGTCAGCCCTGGGGGCTGAGCACCCCTAAAGGGCAGATGCTAGAATCGCCCCTGTCTTCACTTTAATTTAAATACTGTCCCATCAGTCTGAGCTCCTCTGCATTCGGGACCAGCTGGAGTGGCAGAACTTGGTGACTGCAAATGAAAGCATGAAGGAGGATTTCAAGATCTGGTTTAGAAACAAAATCTCACAATATTTTTTCAGATGGTAAAAAATGATTTTGTTAGTGATTCACTGGGGCTGTTAAAATTTAAATCTGCATCTAAAGTGGCTCCTAATTTCCTATCTGGACTTTTGTGTTTTAAAGACACTGAGAGCAGCAATCATTTAGAGTTTGTGTGATAGATGGGATGAGGCTGTATATTTTACACCATCTCTCTGTCCTTAAGTGGCTTCTGAACGTAACTGTTCAATGCAAAGGGGTGACTCATACTGTACGCATGTACCACATTTCAGTTATATATATATATATATATATATAT